GTGCGAAACTTGGTTACGACGAGGGTAAAAATCTTATTCATTTTTAATTGTCAACACCCGCTTCTTTGTGAAAAAATTAAAAATGAATAAGATTTTTACCCTCGTCGTAACCAAGTTTCGCACGCCGGCATTTTCCTCGATACGCTCGACAAAACCTCTTACTTGGTTGCGAGATGGTTGTCCCATGCTGCAGTCGCCGTTCTCGAGATGACTGGCCATGGAGGAGTGTCTTGGAAACTCACGCTGACATTGCGGACAGAATGATCGGGTTTGGCGTGGCGGCGAGAGTGACTAGACAAAGAAAAGAGAGTTCCCGTGTGTTTAATGCACCACCAGCCCCGTATAACTCATTCAAAAACTCAATGGGGGACGTTACTCGAGATCTGTGGGCACTGGACATGTTGTAATGCTGCTGCAGAGCTGCTGGATGTATAAAGATGCGGTTGCAGTCGTCGCAGTAGCAGCCAATGTGGATCGTCGCGCTCTTGAAGTGCTGGGTGAGAGCACGAGGGTGTGGGAAGTCGCGGCTGCACTCGTCGCATCGGGTGCTCATTTTGAAGTGGGGACAAAGTTGGGAAAGGGGATCAGGGTGTCTTGTTGAAGAAAAATGTCTTTGAAGTTTATGTGGGAGATTTACAGTCAATCTTGTCATCTTGTCAAAAACGTGGATGGGAAAATGAAAAGTGAGTGATGCGATGCAAACAGAGGAGAAAGCAGGCCGACCATCAGTTGGTAATACAACTGCCGTCCAGCTGTCAACCGACTGTCGGGTCATGAAGCAGCACGCACAGTGCCAGCCCAACGCATACACTCTCACACTCACTCTCGATAACCCACTTTGTTTCTCTCTTGTTTTGCTTAACATACGTGCGTACCTCCAACAGGATCTATCTGCAGCTTACATCTGAGAGATGCATCAGCCAATCAAACGTTTGTTTATTTTACATTGGTGATCAGGTTCACATTGTTTGATGTTGGCTTGGATGCAAACATATAGCCAAGTCAGCAATCAGTGAGAACTGAACAGGAAGAGAGTTGCACCTTTTTCCAGAGTAGTTGAACCCTTTCTGGAGTTGAACCTGGAGCACGCGCCTTGTTGTGCCTATGAACATCAGTCTGTTGTCTGTGCTCTGACCGCATCTGGACACACACTTGTTGGGCGCAAATGGAAGCACACAGAACAGCAAAGAAGCAGTGATCGGACATCACAAAAGACACAGATCCGAAATAAAAATAAATAAATTCCAGCCTTTTTAATACGCACTCACCCCCAAATAGAATTACAATTTTTACTGACTTGGTTCAGCGGCACTGTCCTGTCTGCTGGAAAAAGAAAGAAAGAAAAACAACAACAAACAGCAACTTCGGACTCTTCTTCTTGACCCTCTCCTTCCACCCACCCACCCCCCGCTGACAACCAACCAACCAATGAACACACACGGTCACGGGCAGGAGCCTCCCCCCTCAACCGTCGGCGTTGCCTGCGAGCGCATCTTCAAGATCAAGGCCATCGAAGCTCACAGACCAATGAGTGAGAAGGAACTGTCGCTGGGATTCATTGGCTTCAAACGGACACAGGCTTTCTATGTCCTGGCCCAGTATCCAGCTCTGGAGGCCTATTTCGTGAGGTGAGACTGCCAGACATCGGGACCCTTGCTCCCAGAAAAACTAATCCCCACAACCCTTTCACCTCTCAGCAATCAATACGCTGTCCCTTTCGGACGAAATGCCGTATGTGGACTGGTCCCTGCACGGTTGTTTGAAGTGGTTGATCTGTACTCTAGCGACAGCACAAAAGTCCCCGTCACCACAGAAAGCGAGAAGCAGCAGCAGCAGCAAGCCATCATCACCCAAAACGCAAACACAACAAATGCAAACGCAAGCAGGCTGTCTATGGCTTCCATTCCATCTCCTCCTCTGTCAGCTGCTACTGCAAATCCGACAAGGGTTCCTCTTTATACCGTGGGTTCTGTTGCTGTCGACGGTTTCCATCGAGCAAACAACGAATACTCCATCTCCATTGCTGCTTACTTGACCATGGCAAATGGATCTAACGCTTCAGCCCGTATGGAGAGGACCCTCGCCCAGCTGCTCCGATTTCACTCATCACTCATTCAATTGAAGTCATCCCAACCTGTCCCTCAGTTCCCCGCACGCCCCACCATGAAGCTCGCAGATCAATCCAACCCAACTTTCATGCGCAATGCGTTCGCAGAATTGCGCCTGCAACTACAAGTATTCCTCAACGAATGCATCGCAAACGGATTCACAGATAACCTCACCGTGTTCCTGATTCCACCAAACGGATCCGTCCAAATCATTGCAGAATCCGCTCTCTCGTCTCGAAACGAAAGCGATTCTTCGATTCAAAGCATGGACTCTACCACCAACTATGTTCAAAGCCCCGATCTCGAAGACACGCGCCGTTTATCAACCATCACTTCCCACCACCAGCATCACCAACACCGCCCTTCAAACCCGGCAATCCCCTCGCATACTACCAGCAGCAACAACAATCGAACAAGCGCATCCCAGACACTGTCACAACACTCCCGACACGACAGCATCTACAGCCTTCTCAGCGAATCGCAGCGTGCAAGTTTAATTGGAAACGACTTGTCCCAACGCGCATCGTACCTCAGCGAGCAAGCACGTCAATCTCTCATTAGCGATGCAAACCGTGCAAGCATTGCATCTCTAAGCGACTACCAGCGTCTCAGCCTGATTGAAAGTACAGTGTCCAACAACAACCGCGACAGCGTTGTAAGCAGCATTAGCAGGCACAACAGCGTTATGTCTAAAAACAGTAACCGATTCAGTATCAGCAGTCGTCGTGGCAGTGCGTATGTCGGGATCAGTACTCAAGTCGAAGATAAGGAGGACGCTGCTGCTTCTGAAGTTGCTGCTGCTGCAAACAACAAAGACAATCACAATTCCGTGTTTAGTCCGCCACCAAAAGCCCCAATTACTCAGTTTGGTGCAAACGGACCTGTACGCTCTGCACTCGATTTAGACGGCGATGCGTCCATAATTCAACAGCAACAACCTGATGGCGAGTACCATGGAGAAGATAAATCCAAGCGAAGACGAGAAATCAGCGACGCAAGCGCAAAACGATTCGGCACAATGCTCCTCGCCGCCGCCGCCGAAGAAGAAGAAGCCGAAGCCGGCGAAGCTGGTGAAGCCGAAACCTCCCAAGAACAGCAAAAGGACGATCAACTCGTGGTAGACGGTCTCGCCAAAGTCCATATTGAAGGAAGAGGTCGCAATGCAATCGTCAATGCCGTCAAACCAACTACAACTACAACTGGCCACCTCCAACCACCCGGCGGACAACTCCATGAAATCCCATTCCCCGCGCGATCCAGCAGTAAATCTGTCGCCTTACGGGACGGGGGTATGGCAAGTGCCGCAGTCGACCCGAATCTCCTGAAACATGAAGTGAATGCAATCAACTCCTTCTTTGATGAAGACGATGACGAACCGACTGGAAACTCCAAATTATTATCGCCGCCATCGGCGGTGGAAGGGGTCAGGAAGGTGGCAAGTAATGTCAGCTTGGCTGCGAGTATTTCGGGTCGGTCATCGAGTTTGGGTTGGAAGCAGACTTGAAGATGACTGATGATGAGCGAGTGCGTAATGATGATGATGATGATGATGTTGTCTCTTTTATTTTATTTTTTTCGTTTCCCACACATACATCTTCCTAGACCTATTTGCCCCGTTCATTTTTTTAAACTCTCGTTTTTCCTTTTTTTAATTCCTTCTAATCAACATGAAATGAAGGGTATCTATATTATTACGCGCAAAGTGCCCACAAATTTGACCATGAAGACTGCCGTTCCAAGGTGTTGGGCGTATGGTTGGTTAAGCGGAAAAAAAAAATTAAAAATAAAAATGGAGTGAGCAGAGTGGGATTCGAACCCACGCCTATTACTAGATCACGGCCTTAACGTGACGCCTTAGACCAACTCGGC